GGAACTGAGAGTGTGGCAGCAGATGAGGGAGTGGGACAAAGGCATCTTATCACCCAGGGCTGGAGCCTTTCCATTTGGGGTTTTTGGAGGTCCCAGAGGGTGGGGGTTTCTGAGGATCCCTCTGGGCATCTGCCCTGGATATATGCAGGGAGTTGCAGAGCCAGAAGGTCCCCCCCTGAGCCTCCTTTTCTCCAGGCTGAGCCCCCCCAGCTCCCTCAGCCCCTCCTGCTGCTCCAGCCCCTTCCCAGCTCTGGTCCCTTCCCTGCACACGCTCCAGCCCCTCCGGGTCCTTGTCACGAGGGGCCAAAGAGCAGCACAAGGAACGAGAGGCAGCACGAGGAGGAGATGCTGAGAAGTTCTGCAGGGGAGAAGTCCACAGGGGAGGTTTCTGCCAGCCTTTGTGGTTCCTTGGGAACACACGAAGTGGAGGCACGTGGTTTGGTCAGAGCTCAGTGTCAGGGACATCCAGGGTCAGGCTGTTCTGATCCTGGAGCTGGAATTCTGAGTGCAAAGTCCACGTTTCTGTGTCATTCCAGGAGATCTACAAAGATGCCAATACCCAAGTTCACACCCTGAGGAAGATGGTGAAGGAGAAGGAAGAAGCCATCCAGCGCCAGTCCACGCTGGAGAAGAAGATCCACGAGCTGGAGAAGCAGGGAACCATCAAGATCCAGAAGAAAGGGGATGGGGACATCTCCATCCTTCCCGTGGCTCTGGCCTCTGGGATGGTGCCAGCAGGGTCAGAGGTGTCAGGGACACCTGGCACACCTGGAGCTGCATCCTCAGTGCCATTGCCACCCCCTCCACCGCCCCTACCTGCCATGGCAGGGACTCCTGAGGCAGGTGAGGAGCTGTGGGGGATCCACTGGTTGTGTGACCAGTGCTGAGCCCTTCAGGGGATGGAAGAGTCGGAATATTCTTCTTTAGGGGGGGTTTCCTCATGTGCTGATGCACCAAAGGACTTCGGTGAAGGGTCCGACCAGTGCTTGGGTGGGTGGAGAGGGGAGGATGGGGGGATGTTGGACAAGAGTGTGTGGGGGGATAAGGGGATGTTGGACAGGGATGGGGGGGGATAAGGGACTGTTGTGACACTTTCTCCCTGTGCCTGTGATACCCCAGTCCATGTCCATGGTAACTCCTGGCTCTCCTTTGACCCCGCAGTGCCCAATGGCCCCGTGTCGGTGCCGATGCCGCCTCCCCCTCCGCCCCCGCCGCCACCCCCACCGCCTCCTCCACCTCCTCCTCTGCCAGGGCCGGCTCTGGACACGGCTCCAGCAGCTCCACTGCCCCCACCACCCCCTCCCTCAGCTCCCCCTCTGCCCGGGACAGCCTCTCCCACCGTGGTCTTCAACTCAGGCCTCGCAGGTAAAGCTCGGGCGCGGCTCCCGCTGGGGGTAAGGGGGAGGTCAGGGCACAGCTCTGGGGATAAATCCCATAGCTGATGTAATCCCAAACAGTTTATGGGAGAAAGGAGCATTTAAGGTTCTCCAAGGTTGGGCAGAGAAGCTGTGGCTGCCCCTGGATCCCTGGAAGTGTCCAAGGCCAGGTTGGACGGGGCTTGGAGCAAGCTGGGCTGGTGGAAGGTGTCCCTGCCCGTGGCAGGGGGTGGGATGAGCTAATCCTTAATGTCCCTTCCAACCCAAACCATCCTGTGATCCTGTGATTTATCAGCCTGACAGCTTTGGTTTGGCCTGGAAGGAGCTGGATGCTCCAGTGAAACAAAACCCCGTGCCAAAAGTGCTTTTTAAATGTGCACGGTTTTGGCCTTGAGCAAACGAAATGTGGGTTTGAGAGAGACGTGATGTGAAGCTTCAGGGGTTTGGTTTCTTCTGAGAAGAAATGTCTGTGCAAAAAAAAAAAAAAAAAAAAATAGGGCAAACTTTTGGGGATTTTTTGGAAGGCAGAGCAATTTGCAGACCTTCTTTGAGCGTGTTTTTAGTCACTCTCTGGCACGTGCCAAGTGTCTCAGGCAGTGAGTAAATGCTGACTATCACCAGAAGCCTCAAGAGCACATAATGAGTCCAAAAAAAAAAGAGACTGAAGAGCTCTAATTAAGAGCTTTTTTTAAAGAAGAAAAATCTGATTAAGTATTCCAGCCTTTAAAGCTTCCTCTGAAGGCCAAAAGCATCCTGGAAGTAAGAGGGTCCCGTGGGGGGATTATGAAAAAATAAAGTACAGAAGGCACAGCCCTGCTGAGGGCTGATCCCTCTGGATGGATGTGGGAAAGGGGTGCTGGATGTGGCCGTGGGGGGCTGCAGGGGGCACAGGAGGTGCCTTATCCCAACATCCCTGGGTGTTAATTTGGGATGGGAGCAGTGGCCAAGCCCTCCTGGCCCAGCTCCTCACTCACATCTGGGTGAGATGCCAGAGCCAGGGGAGCTGGAAATCCTGTCCTTCAGTGGGTTAGGATTGGGAATGGGAATGGAAGTGCCTTTTGCTGATGCAGTGGCTCCTCAGGAAGGAGGGATTTTAGGGCAGGAGCCTCCTGGGTGTGAGGGGAGTCGGGGGAATAACAAGAGTTGCTTCTCTGCCCATCACTAACACTGTTTTCTCTCTTCTCTCTGCCTCCTGCTAAGATGGGCCCATCAAGCTCTTCTGTAGGTTGCTCCCTGCTAAGTATTTGTTATTCCTGCTTTTCCCTCTGTGCTGTGTCCATGTGTGTGTCCAGGGACTCTGTGGGTGGGCAGGGGGAGGCCCTGGGGATGTGCCACCCCTCAGGATTTGGGCACCAGAGCTCTGGAATGGAGGAGGAAGGGAAATCTGGAGAGGTTTTGGAGCTCCATGAGGACCTGGCCCAGGAGGCATCAGCTTCTTCCCTGTCCTGGAATAACCCAGGAGCAGTTAATGAGATTCTAATTTATTCACGAGCGGAAAATGTTTTTTTTCATGGGTGTTCAAAGCTTTTTTTATTTATTTTGGGAATTATTTTAAGTAACCTCATTAATTAAGCTGAGTAAAAAACTGTGTAGTGGAGATGAGCACAAGTTGCTCACGTGTGGGTCTCCCTGCCTTGCAGTTGGATCCATTTAATTCCCAAGACACACAGTGGAATATTGTGGATGTTCCCTGTAATCCACTCATGACTCTTTGCTCCCAGCACTGGAGAGGAAGGACCAGGGTTTATGTTTCATGTTTACAAAGAAACAGTTTATTTTTTAAATAATTCAGGAGCAAAAGGTTGGTTGAGCACTTGAATGAACACCTTGATTTGGTAGCAAGGGAACAACTTCATGTTTACATCAAGGTACAAAGAAATGAGGACTGAATTACAGAACTTATTCATTATTCACCTTCCAGACCTGTTGGGATTGGAAAACAGGACTAGGAACAGGAATAGGAAAGGATTGGGTTCATTGCTCCCAGGTTGCTTTTCCTACTCTGTTCACAGATTAATGAGAGTAATCAAGTTTAATTTTCAGGCTTCATTTTCACAGCTCCTCTGTTGAAGTTCCTAATTGACTGTAAAGTTCCTAAATTACTTTAATTTACTGCATTTGCACAGCACAGGAACTAAAACCTGTTTTTTTTTTTCCCCCCCTGTTAAATCCCAGGTGCTGCAGCCCAACCCCTTTGGCTCTGAAACACAAACCTGGTGAAGAGCAGCTCTGCCCCACTGCAGTTTCCCCAAAACCTTGGGAAAGGGGCTTTTTTTTTTTTTCCTTCTTGTTGCCTGTTTTGGGACACAGCTCCCAGGGTGTGTGACAGTGCTCTGCCAGCAGCAGGACAGGCTTCAATTCCACCACTCTCTCCGTTTTCCGGGGTGTTTAAATATAAACCCTGGGCTTTTAAAAGGCAATCCAGGCAGCATGTGGCCATCAACTCATCCCAGATTTCCTTTAGGGAAGTTTTCACAGCCTCTGGGGGTTAGGCTGGGCCTGAAGCAGCTCAGGGCTGGGTGACACCGTTTGCCTCTCGAGGCACTGACACCTTTGCAGGGTTCCACTGGGATAATTGAGCTCTGGCCAGTTCTCCGGGGCTGAAATGCCAGCTGGGGAGCTGCCCTCTGGGAATGTGGGGTGTTCTGCAGCCAGTCCCTCAGGAATCTGTGCTTTCCTCTCCCCTGTGTGTAGCTGTGAAGATCAAGAAGCCCATCAAGACCAAGTTCCGCATGCCCGTGTTCAACTGGGTGGCCCTGAAGCCCAACCAGATCAACGGCACCGTCTTCAACGAGATCGACGACGAGAGGATCCTCGAGGTACCTCAGCTGCTCCTGAGCCTCCCTGGGACAAGGGAGTTCTGGAATCAGGGAATGGATTGGGTGGGAAGAGCCCTCTTAGCTCATTGAGTCCATCTGTCCCCCCAGCACTGCCCAGGCCGCCCCTGATCCGTGTCCCCAGGTGCCACATCCACAGGGCTTGGGAATCCCTCCAGGGCTGGGCACTCCAAACCTCCCTGGGCAGCTGTGCCAGTGCCTGACCACCCTTTCCAGGAGAAATTCCTGCTGATGTCCCACCTGCCCCTCCCCTGGCACAGCTGGAGGCCGTTCCCTCTCCTCCTGTCCCTGTTCCCTGGGAGCAGAGCCCGACCCCCCCCGGCTCCCCCCTCCTGTCAGGGAGTGGGACAGTGAGAAGGTCCCCGCAGGGACAGACCATGGCAATGACCTTGGCAAAGGGCTCATGGAGGTCCTGGATGCTCCCTGTGGGCTGGATAAAGCACAAGCTCGAGCAGGAATGTTTTCCTGAGCTTCAGAACATCTAAAGGGCTCTTGGGGCTGGATTTCTGGACTCTGGCCAGATTTCCTGATCACCAGCTCAGGAGTGAGTGCTCCTTCCATGCCTGATGGAAATAATCTGGATTTCAAGTCCAGGCTGGATGGGGTTTGGAGCAGCCTGGGCTGGTGGAAGTGTCCCTGCCCATGGCAGGGGTGGGACTTTAAGATCCTTTCCAACCCAAAGCATTCCATGATTCCATGATATTCTGCTCCAGTCTCACCCTTTCCCTGCAGCTCTGGCCCAGGATTAGGGACTGGGTTTTGTGCTCCCTGCAGGAGGGATAAATCATTGCCTTTCCTTTTTAGGATCTAAACGTGGATGAATTCGAAGAAATATTCAAAACAAAGGCCCAGGGCCCAGCCATTGATCTGACCTCCAGCAAGCAGAAGATCACCCAGAAAGGCTCCAACAAGGTCACGTTGCTGGATGCCAACAGGGCCAAGAACCTGGCCATAACCCTCCGGAAAGCCGGGAAGACGGCGGACGAGATCTGCAAGGCCATCCACGTGTAAGTGAAACACTGGCCAGCCAAGAAACCCTGAGGTTTACTGGGGGGGTTTGGGCAGTGGAAAGGGTTGGAATTGGCAGTTGGTGCATCTGGGAAATATCCAGGGGTAAGAGGGGAAGGGTTCTGAATGCCCAGAAATCCGATTGCCCTGAACTAAGACAAAAACCTGGCAGTTCCGTGTCTCTGAATCACTGCTGAGAATTAACAAATTAACACTTCTGTTATTAAAGCAGCTAATTCCTGTCTGTGCACAGGATAGTGGATCCATATCCTATATCCAGTAGTTTGCCATGGGCAGATCTCTCTGTCTCCACAATATTTTCTGTTCCAGTGAGCACCCAAAAGCCAGAGGGAACTCTTGGGCTGATCCCAAATCCACCCACACATTCTCTGTGCTCCTCGTGGCCATGACAAACATCACCCATGACAAACATCTCCCATTCCTCCAGTAAGGAGTATCTTAAAAATGTGGGTCACAAGCGTTACCTTTGGGCTGGAGGGTGACCCAAACCTGCCCCACATCGAGGCAGGTTCAGTTGCTGGGAATTTTACACGGCTCTGCTCCAATGAAATAAAAATACTTGCTCCTCCCCACCTCTTTTCTCTTACAAAAAAGAGCTGTGGCCATGGAGGGATGTAGGTGATGGCCACATCTTTGGGATGGGAAGCAGAGTGTCCAGCAGCACCATTCCCATCAGCCCAGTAACCTGTTCCCATCTCCATGTGCAGGGCAGGAAGAACTTCACAGCTTTTTCTCTGCTGACTCAGGCTCATGTAGAGCTGAATCCCAGCCCGGTTTGGGTGGGGAAGGACCTACCATGTCCCATCCAGGGACACCTTCCCCTAGCCCAGGTTGCCCCACGCCCCGTCCAAGCTGTCCCTGAGCCCTTGTCCTGGTGTCGTGCCGCAGGTTTGACCTGAAGACGCTGCCGGTGGATTTTGTGGAGTGCTTGATGCGGTTCCTGCCCACGGAGAACGAGGTGAAGGTGCTGCGCCTGTACGAGCGGGAGCGCAAGCCCATCGAGAACCTGTCGGACGAGGACCGGTTCATGATGCAGTTCAGCAAGATCGAGAGGCTCATGCAGAAAATGACCATCATGGCCTTCATCGGCAACTTCGCCGAGAGCATCCAGATGCTGACCCCGGTGAGCCCTGGGGTCTGGGAGCATTCCCTGGCCGAGATGGGGATTACAGATCCAAGTCCTGGCCCTGCACAGGCACCCCAGCAATCCCACCCTGTCCCTGAACCTTCCCGGAGCTCTGGCAGCCTTGGGACCACGAGCACTGCCCTGGGGAGCCTGGTCAGTGCCCACCACCCTCCAAGAAACGCTCCCACTAGTGGAAAAGGGGGTTTCTGGCTTTGTTTTCATCTCTTAGTGACTGTAAATCCCGGGAGCTGCTTGTAGGGCAGCTGTAGTCCAGACTGTCAGGGACTGCCTCATAGGCCCTGTAAACCCTATAGGCCTCACAGACCCCATAGCCCTCATGGACCCCACAGACCCCATAAACCTCTAGGCCTCATGGGCCCCCCCGGCCCCATAGATCCCATAGGCCCCATAGTGCCATCAGGCCTCACGTGTCCCATAGGACCCAAAATTCCCCCCCAAAGGCCTCAGGGGCCCTTTAGGTTACTGTTGGTCGTGGTCCATGGGCTCCTTTTTTCAGGATGTGATTCAATGTTCATTTCACTCCTGGTGGGACGTTCCGGTAACCAAAGCTCTTCCTGTGTCTCCCTCCAGCAACTCCACGCCATAATCGCTGCCTCTGTCTCCATAAAGTCATCCCAAAAGCTTAAGAAGATACTGGAGGTAGGTCTGACACCAGCTCTGTTTCCAGGGGTTTCCAAAGCCCTGGGCACTTTGCCCTGGAAATCCCTGCCCTGCTTGTTTCCTCCTGGCAGATCATCCTGGCTCTTGGGAACTACATGAACAGCAGCAAACGAGGGGCTGTCTACGGCTTTAAGCTGCAGAGTTTAGACCTGGTAAGTGAGGCAAGAGACGTGTGGTGGGACCAGGTGGGAACTGGGGCTGTGGGGTCGTTTAGGTCGGAAAAAGCCACGAGAACGCCGAGTCCTTGGCTTGGAAGCTGCTGCTCCACCATCTCGTGGCCTGTTGCCCACAGCTCCTGGAGACCAAGTCGACAGACCGGAAGCTGACGCTGCTGCACTACATCTCCAACGTGGTCAAGGAGAAGTACCAGCACGTGTCCCTCTTCTACAACGAGCTGCACTACGTGGAGAAGGCAGCAGCAGGTACGGGGACCCTCCTGCAGCCCCCCCCTGCCCCCCAGGGACGGCTCCTGCGGGCAGGGAAGCCCCCAGGGCGCGGGTTGCAGCCTGTGTGCCGTCCCCAGTGTCCCTGGAGAACGTGCTGCTGGACGTGAAGGAGCTGCAGCGGGGCCTGGAGCTGACCAAGCGCGAGTACACCATGCACGACCACAACACCATGCTCAAGGACTTCATCCAGAACAACGAGGGCAAGCTCAAGAAGCTGCAGGACGACGCCAAGATAGCCCAGGTACCCCTTGTTGAGCTCTCCCCACAGGATGTGCTCCGTGTCCATGGAACGGACCGTGGGGATGGGGAGGTGACCTGGGGCAGTGCAGTGAATCTGTGCCTGTTGCAGGATGCCTTTGATGATGCTGTGAAGTACTTTGGGGAGAATCCCAAGACAACTCCCCCCTCGGTCTTTTTCCCAGTGTTTGTCCGGTTTGTGAAGGCCTACAAGGTAAGGAGGAGCTTCCTTCTCCTCCTCTTCCTCCTTCTCTTCTTCTCCTCCTCCTTTCCCTTTCCTTTTCCCTTGCCCTTTTCCTCTCCTCCTCCTTCTCCTCTTCCTCCTCCTCCTTCTCCTCTTCCT